AACAGGCAGATCCTGGTGATGCCAAGTGGAACGAATGGTCAAGGTTGTCTGGCTGCAGAGGGAAGTAATAACTTGTTGGTGCCAAGAAAGTAGTTGGTGCCGAGAAATATTTGTCCAGTCAACTAGGCTTTTTAGGTGCTGATGGATATGCAGCATCAGTTAAGTCCAGGTGAAGGTGGTGGCGTGATTGTTTCAACACCAAAGGTTCCATTCTAGGAACCAAACGCTCAGATGCTGCTAACATGCTGGGGAAGATGGCTGGCTGATAGTAGTTAGCAGGCATCTCAGCAGGGCACTGATCAGGGCAAGAGGCTTCCCCATGATAATGCCGAGGGTAGTAAAAAGTGATGTCCACGCAGGAAGGCAAGCGAACGTTCTGGTAAGTTTGGTGCCTACATTTGTGCACCAGGTCAAGGCGGTAGACCCATAGGGCAGCATAAGGCATGGTGTCAAGCTGTGCAGCAGTGCCATGGGTGGGTGAAGCAGCCTGGAAGACCCACTAGGTGATATGGAGAACTGTGGAGGACTGGTTGGTGGAGAAGTAGCCAGTTGGTTGATGCACTGGTCCCAGTCAGGTGACTGGGAGGGATGAGGCGATGGCTGATGGGCTGAAGGAACCTTGTCACTGGAGAGGGATCCAATGCAAACAAGGTCTTCGGACTCAGGAGGTGGCTGCAAAGTTAGTGTCAAAATAACCTTGGAGGGCTTTGACTTCAAGAACTTGATCTTTTTTTGGTGGATGACGATCAGCCACCGAAGGCTGGTTGGTCGACATCTTCCATTTGGTGACTGGAGGATTTGATACTGAGGCAGTTAACATAGAAAGCTTGGTATTGTGAGGCTGGGAGGTGGGAGATAAGACCAAAGTCTTGGAAACATGGAAAGGGCCCGTTGTTCTTCGGAACAGGAGAGGGTGGCCAATGGACAGTTTAACTGCCTTGGAAATGGCCTTGTCCTTGTCATTGCTAGATATCAGCGGACGCCATACACCAAGCGGAGGATATTGAAATTCTACCAAATACATATGCAGACCACAACCCAGTATTGCTGACCTTAGGGCAGAGGATAAGGATCGGATTTTGGAGACTTAACACGCGACTGCTGAGAGTAGAGACCTTTGTAAATAAAATAAAAAATGAGCTGAACTTTTTTTTCCAAACTAACAAACCTCAAGATATAGGAATGACAATGATATGGGGTGCAGCCAAAGCATACTTTTGAGGATACGCAATAGAATTCAATACACAAAAGAAAAAAGAAAGAAATAAACAATACCAAATCCTAATTACATCTTTAAAGAAAGAGGAAGCAGAGCTTAAGAAGGCACCAACAAAAAAGTGATTGCTTAACAAAATAAATATTCTACAGCATAAAATTAATTTACTAGAACAGGAAGAGATGGAGAAGAATATTAAATTTGAAAGGCAAAAATTCTTTGAAAATGCAAACAAACCGGGAAGATGGTTAGCATATAGAATAAAAAGGGAGAGAGAGAAAACGAGGATTACGGCAATATTTGATAAGCAAGGGAAGGAAGTATATAAACAAAAGGAGATCAAAAAGGAGATCCATGAATTTTTCACTGAACTATATAAGAAAAGAGAAGGAGAAGGAGAAAAACAAAAAAATTATTGGAACAATATTCCAGAATGAAGACTGAATCATCAACAATTGGAGAAATTGAACAAACCAATCACAATGGAAGAGATCGGAGAAGCATGGAAGAAACAAAAAAGCGGCAAATCCCCTGGTCCAGATGGACTACCAGCAGAATACTACAAGACATTTGAAGAAATCTTAAGTCCACAATTCAAGAAACTAATTGAAGATATACAAACTAAAGAGGAAATTCCTAATTCCTGGAAAGAAGCATACATCTCGCTAATACATAAAGAAGGCACAGATAAAAGACTAACCAAGAATTACAGACTGATCTCTCTTCTAAATGTTGATTATAAGATCTACACAACCATCCTAGCCACAAGACTAAAGGAGATGCTTGAAATAATAATACACAAAGACCAAACAGGCTTCTTATCTAAAAGGAAATTATCATCCGATATAAGGACAATAATAGATATACTGGAATACTACAAAATGCATCCCAAAAAGCAGATGATGCTAATCTTCCTTCATGCAGAAAAAGCCTTTGACAATGTAAATTGGGAGTTTATGCTATCATTACTGAAGAGAATGGGCTTCCAAGGAACATATCTACAAGCAATTAAGGCAATATATACTAAGCAAGTAGCCAAGATAAAAGTTAA